CTGATCCGAGGAAAATTACCTTCCCTATTGAGGGTTAAACAGGGTGGCGACCGCAGTAAGTCAAACATTTACCTAAAACGTGAAGGGTAAGGCTCATTGGCGTCCTACGAACGTAGTTTGGTCAGTCTCGTGACAGATAGAATACCTAAGATAAAAATTGGCACTTATAGTCGGCATATTAAGAACCGTGCGGGCGTATGAAAAGTGCGCTGACGAAAGGGGTCTTCGGAGGAAAAAGTCCGATGGTCATATTAAGAGGATTTATCATTTCGTCGATTTCATAGAAACGGGCACTGATTCCGGTTACACCGTCACGTACACGTCCTCAAGCCGGCCCGGCACATCACACTCCAGGCCCGACGTTACCGACCAATCAGACGTAACCGACAGCGACAGCGAATAAGCGTCACCAAATACCGACCAGGCGAGGGGGGGGAACAACCCCCACGCAACCAAAACAGGGGTTTAAAGGCAAGGATCACGCCACTCAGAACAGAAAGTCCGCACCCGCCATGGAAGCCGAACTTGACGCCATCCTTGCCACCACCACCGATACCGCCGGAGACCAAAAATTCGAAGAATTATGGGAACGGCTTCTCCGGACACCAGCTCGCGAAACTCCAATGGAAGCGCTGCCCGTCGCAGCACACGTCAAGCTGGACTTACGGGACCCGGCAACCAGAGGAGAACCCGCAACCCCGGTGACACCAGCGACCCACGTCGAATGTCGAAAGATCACCACGACCGAACGAATCTGCACCAAGCCCGTGCCCCGGGTAGGCACGGTCGTTCAACGCTCAGACCGCATGCACGAAAGATACGGATGCTGATGCAAGTGCCATCACCAGCATCTCGCCGGCCGACTAACAAGGGGCGACCACACATCCGACCGGTTACTTGGGGGCTCGGCAAACAAAAACCCGAGCAACCAGCCGCAACAGTCAAGGACACACAACCAAACATGGTACAAATCCGCCTACACGAGCTGTTTGGCAGTTTATCAGACATAGAGGACGATGAAAGACCCGGAGGGATCCCACAACAAACCGATGGTAACAACAACCAGACAATCATAGTTATGGGAACAGCCCCCACCGCAGCAACACCACCTCCGCCACTGGAATCACAACGCCCGGAAGCAGGACTACCGGAGTCAGAAACACCAAGCTACGGCCCAGCCCCCTCGCCCCCGGTGCTCGTAACACTAAACGAGGATACCAGTAGAGGTACCATACTTCGCGGCACACATCTCACGCAAGTATAAGGCTCGGGTAGGAAACCGCCGCTTCGTGCTCCGATTCGACCGCTC